GAGATTTTAACATGGTACTGTGTGGCTCCAGGATCATACTCTGAGAACAGCTGAGTCTGAACTGTTCTAGAGTTGGCGCTCGATATGACAAGGGCCAGCATAGAATCCAGGAACCATTGAGGAAGCCAGAGCACAGCAAAGAGCTGTAAACCAGGCGTTAGGGTACCAGCTTCTAGCAAAACTCCCACGAGTTAGACATTTCCAGGAAGTAACGCGTGGCCGCAGCCTTACAAGCCAAAATCGCCTCATCTAGAACCCTCAGTCTTAGATACCTGTCTTCCCCCAAGATCTAGGATAATTTTGACCTGCTTTAGAGGAGAGGTTATGCAGAAGGTACAAGGAATAGCTTTACATTCCCTCAATTTGACTTACAGTAAACTATGTGTTTTATATTTAAACTTTGTTGCTGTTTCATGGTCTACCGAAGATCACAACAACTTGGTCAAACTTTCCATCATGTTGTGATTTTTGTCATAGCTACTCCTTAAATATCTGAACAGTTTTGTTATTGCTAACATTTTAAACCCATGTTAAAGGGGTGCAAAGAAGCTTCTAGGTAACAGGAATCCTGTGTGAGGCTCAGGGTTCTCGTCCCTGTAGAACTGCCCTATGGAGGCTCCTTTTTGCCCCTAAATGAAAAGCAGACCTGGGTCCCTCCATATTTGAGTTTTCTCTCTACTTGTGTGACCAGTCATCCTTGGAGGCTGAGTTCAGAACCTGCAAACCAGGCCTACGGGTTCACTGTCGTCACCCTTTCCTTCCTCTCCTCCCCAAGACCCTTTCTTCTTCTGTCCTCTTCTCCTTTTGTCTCCGCACTCTGCAATAAAGTTTACTATGGTGGCCTCCTGCCTCTCTTCTGGACAGGGACTTGTCACACATCCTTCACCGTGCAATACATCTGCAGCACATTGCCGTCTCTCACGTGCTCATAGCACGTAGATTGTCTCCTTCATGTTCATCTTCCTGATGACTTGGAAAAGTAGGACAATGCCCTCCCATTTTATAAGTGATGAAGATGAGACTGGGGCGGGGGGGATTAGCAAGGTGTCCAGAACAAGAGAATCAGTAACAGTGGGAAAACGTGCTTCTCGGGCAGAAAAGGTATACCTTGCTGCATAAGGTTAGGTTTTCATCTGCTCTGTCTAAATCTGTGGTTCTCCCAGAAGAGGAGAGACCTGTTAGAGGGCATAGGCAGGTGCAATGCCTGTCTGGGCAGATTTTGGACAAGTAGAGTGAAAGACAAGGAGGTGAGAGTGAGCTGGCAGGGGCACAGACATCCTTCTTTCCAGCAAAGAAAACGAAGAAAGAATGGAGGAGTGAGGAAGAATGAGAGGAAATAGGAAGAAAAGCCTGTCGATCACAAAACAGATCCTGTGGTGAAGCTTATCCTGAGTCCAACACACACACACTGGTGGGGGCGACAGGTCACAGCAAAGGATGGCAAACTCTGCGATAGGTCTCAAGTCCTGTCTGATTTTCTTTCGGTTTTTGAGACCGAGCCTTCCTCTGTAGCTCAGGCTGGCAGGAACATACTATGCAAACTTTCAACACTCTTTCTGCAAGCATTCTCTTAGGACTGAGGTTACAGGCAGGATCCACCACATAGGATCTGATAGTATTATTGGTTTTGAGGTTGATGGAAGCTCCTTTTGTTTTTCTAAGAATATATCCTAAAGACTTTATTACCTGGTACTGGTAGGGGGTTGGTCGAACATAGACGTGAGCAATAAATGACTATTAAGGGAATTAAAGATAATCCAGGGTGATCTTGGCTTTCTATCTGCAATATTATAACTCCCCAGTTGCAGGAGTTCCAGTCAGTCAATCAGCTGCAGAACCATCAACACAGGTGTGGCTTTTTAAGGGACCATCAGAAATTCTCAAGCCTGAAATTGGGTTCCTGGTGGCCTGCTGTTTACCCCTTTAAGTCCTCTTTCCATCGGCAGCCATGCACCTTCTCCCAGTCTCTTGCTGACCCAAGATGAATTTAGAAGGAACTAAACACTCTTCAAATCATTTGATGTCTTGCAGAAGCAGCTCTTTGCATCTGGAATCAGGACTCAAAGGATATAAAGCAGAATCGGGTCACAGATTCCTCTTCTCAAGTTGAAAAAAGGAATAAATGCTTTGGGATTTGGGTGCTTATTGGCCGACAAGACCAGTGCTGGCCATTTCTGGAAAACTAGACCCATAATTGTGTGCTATGGGCATGCATTTTAAAAATGTAAATCTCAGCTTCGCGTCTGATGCCTCTTTTGGCATTTGAGAGTTCTGGGTTAAGGTTGAGTGAAATTCCTAAGCCTGCTACTGGTCACAGTCGGCTAACTCTCTTAATTAGCACAGCACCACTGTATTGTATAAGCGCCACCTCTCTGTGCTCAGCAATGACTAACCGCTCCATTCCAGACTGTTTACTTAAGAGGGGGGCTTTCACCCACAATCAATGTTTCTGGGCATTGAACCTATTTAATTCTGAGCGACAAAGAAGGCTAATGTGGGTCTGGTCCCCTATTCCTCCTCTCCTTCTCCACAGTCCATCCTTCTCTGCCCAGTCACTGAATCTTCATGCTGGGGGTGACTCAGCACCAAGTCTCCTCTAGCCATTAGACGGTACAACCTTGATAAATCCACTTCTCTCCTCTGAGTTTACTGTTGGTACAGGCACTTTCTACCTAAGTGGGGCCGTGTTGGGGAAGATGAAGCACCTCCTAACTTAAGAAATTCACCCCCCAGACCCCAACCCCCAGCACAAGACAGACACCAGACTATGGAAAGCCCAGCTATTGTTCACTTGATAGCTATCTTTTATTGTAATGGACACTGGCAAGAAGACACGAGGGTGAGATCCAGTATCAGAGATTTTACAGGGCTAGTGAGATGCTTCTTCATATAAAAAGGCGCTTACCCTGCCTCCAAGCCTAGCTGAATTTGATCCCTGGGACCAGCCCGATGGAAGGGGGAATAGACTACCCCAAGTTGTGCTCTGACCTCCACACGAGTAGCATGGCACTTGTACACACCCACACACACACACATGCACACATGCACGGATGGAGTATTTACAGAATAATGTTCAGAAAATGGATAGAGGACAAGAACGTGGCAATAGAAACCTATTGTGCCTGGGTGTGTGTGTATAACAGCTGTGTTTGCTACAATTTTATTCTGGGGGGGCAACTCTTAGGCATATATCTGGGGACAAAATAAGCCTCACGTGACTGAACTTGGTTAGTGTGCTGCTACAGATCTGTCAAGGAGGGACACCTGATTACTTTTCAGGTGTGTAGGAAGTTGGAGGAAGGAAAGAACTCAGGGATGATGCTGAGTGTCTTGCATGTGGACCAGAGCTACCCACAGGTAGGGTCCAGACTTTATTTTCCTACCTTAAGAAGCATCATATAGAGATCAGATGAGGGGCTACACACTTGCAATCCAAACACTCAGGAAGCAGAGGCAGGAGAATTTTACAAGTCCAAGGCTGGCCTCGGCTAAGTAAGGGGAGCCCCCATCTCAAAACAAAACAAGCATATGGTGTACCTTGATTAAGTCCCCATGGGTATTTAAGAGTGTTCTCTTTGGGGGAAGAGAGGCCGAGTCTCATTTGGTTTGCTGTGCGACTTCAGGACCCTTCTCCTCAGACACCAACTGAAGTTTCAGCCCCTGGTTGATATCCTCATTGGTCTCTCCTTGTTTCTGTCTGGGCCTGGCCTGTCTTGAGTCTGGACGCACGGCGTCCTTGCCTTTCTACTTGCCTACATTCTAGTCATTTCCTCAGAGGCAGCTTTCAATGTCACCTCCTCTTTGTCCCTTTCACTCAGCAGTGACCCAGTTTCAGGGGTTCTGTTTAAGCTCCCAGAAGCAGGTGAACCCCAGACAACAGGTGCCTTATAACCCACCCACCCTAGAAGCCCTGCAGGATATGACTCTCTTACGCTCTACACCTAGGTCTGTGCTGGGTGCACAGACCTTTCAATATTTGTCCAATTGATATATTATTAGGGCAGTGGAGACAAACACTGTCCGTAGACGAGGTTGCTTTGAAACACACCCCAAGCATTATTTTCCTATCCTGTCCCATGGTTCTTTAGAAACAGTGTGGTATCTTTGGCAGATGGGTAATTGTTAGAAGCCATACTGTCTTCAGCTGTGACCTGGGAGTGTGACCAGCCTTCCGATCTCACCTTATCAGGGTATATCTACTGTGGAACATCCTCTCCAGGAAGTCTAGCGGCTGCCTGGAAAACAGCTCTTCAAGTTCCCAGCACTTTAATTTCCCCCTGATACGCAGCTGGAATCATTAGAAACCTTCCTAAGCCCCCCAGTCTGGAGGTGTGAATAAGGCCCTCGAGAGGACTCAATAGTAAACGCTGGCAGTGGCCATGCCCTCAGGAAGGCAGAGCTAGACACTGTCATCCTCAAACCCTCTTTGGCTCCTCTCCATTCCTGGGCCAAGCTCTGTGCTGAAGCTGTGTGCGAGTGCCTTAGAGGGACGGTGGCCTCGCACATTTCTGGGCGCCTTCCCGTAGCCCTCCTTCCACAGCCCTGGCTGGGGAGCCCGGGAGCCCAGTGGCGCGGCCTTGGCATGCTAAGTGGCAGTACTGGGACGCCTTTGTTTCTGAGGCCAGTTATCCTCTGCATTCAAATGGGTCGCTCGCCCACTCGCTCCTCCGCCAGGGGACAGCGCCCCTTGGCGATGTGTCCCCGACACCTGGGGACCCTGCGAAGGCGTATAAGGGGGTGCGCAGAGCCCTCCAGCCTGGGCACCTGCGCGGGCTCGAGGGGGTCCCGTTGCCCGCTGGCCCAAGTCTCGCGGTGCTACGGCTCGGACCCGGGAGCCGCGGGCACGGCACCCCCACCGCACCACAAAGGCTGAACCCGGAGGAGGCCGGGGAAGGGAGGAGGCGCGGGTGCGCGCGGAGGAGCGGGGTGCGCGCGGAGGAGCGGGGTGCGCGCGGAGGAGCGGGGAGCGCGCGGGGCGCGGGGAGCAGCGCGGGCAGGAGCGCGGGGCGCTCTCAGAGCGCGGGAGCGCGGGGAGCACCGCCCGCACCTTCCTTTGTGTGGCGCGGCCGCGGCGGCGCTGGCCCGCCCCGGGTCCCCGTCCCCGCCCCCGCCCGGCGCGCCGGTCCCTCCCGGCAAGATGGCAACCCCGGCCGCCGTCAATCCTCCGGGTGAGTAGCGGCCGAGCGGCAGGCCCAGCCTGAGCCGCGCAGCCCGGGGGTGGGGAGCGGCCGCCGCCCGGCAGCCTCAGCATCAGCACCGGCCGCGGCATCCTCATCCATAAATGGTGCTCAACCTGGTCCCGCCGGCGCCCGCCGCTACCGCGGATGACTCAATGCTCGCCCGCGGGCTCCAGAGCCACAGGAGCTGGTGGATGCCAGGTGTCGCACCGAGCGAGAGAAAAGTTTGGAGCGGGGATTCAACAGGGCAGAACTCCTGGGACTCTTCGCCTGTCGGCCCCGCCTCCCCAGCGCTGGGCTTTGGCGGGGTTTACACCTGGTCACTGTATATCCCAGTCCTTTCTGGACACGAAAAACCTAATTGGTAATAATGTAGACTGGAGCAGCCCTGTCCCTGACCGATTGCCTGCTCTCTCCCAGGGTGCAGCCTGTGACGGCTAGTCTCATGCCGGCGGATTAGAAAAATGAAAGGAGTTCATGAATGAGTGGGAGTATTGGGCTGCTGTGGCAGGGGAGCCCTATTGTCGTCGGCAAAGTTCCCTGTGGTTTCATGCGAGAATAGGATATGTGACTGCCCCCCAAGTTTTAGGTTTTGTGTTGTCTGCTGTGGGCCTGGAGAATCACAGGTCACTGTGGCTGAGGTAGGAACAATCAAAGAACTCAGACCCCAGGAGAGCCCAGTGAAAGAGGTCTTGTGTTGGGGTGCAGACCCGGTGGGGTGAAGAATGTCTTCAAAGTTATGAGTAAAAGATAACTCCATCCAGGGTGGCCGGGAAAGTTGGGGAACGTTGGACACTAGCTGGGATCATGCAGAAGGTACAGTTTGAGAATGCGGAAAGACAGGCATTGCAGCCCTAAGTCATGAAGTCAGGATGGGCACCACTCTACGCGTGGGCTGGAGGCCAGTGAGTGAGGTGTGAGAAGGGACTTACATTGAGTTCCATGGGTGTGCCCAGGCTCAAGGGGCCTTGAAAGACAAGAACTGTGACTTCCTCTTCCCACCTTAAGAGAAGGGAGCAGAGGAGACACATGGTCGCTGCTTTCCTGAAAGGCCAATCTGTGAGCTGTGTTGAGGTAACATAAAAGGTAGTGAGGCTGGAAGCCGCATTGAAAGGAGGCGGAGGGAAGAGGTCAGACTTAGCTGTAGTGGCTCGAACAGAGGAGAATGAAACTACCAGGGGCCAACAGAGTTTGGCCTTCTTTAGATTTGGAGTAAAGGCAAACAGGAAAGTCAGAATACACAGAGGCAGGCGCCTGTGGGGGTCAAGGAGGTGGGGAACCTTTATAATTCCCAGGAAGGAGGCCGATTAACTGAAAGAGGTGGTCCCAGAAGAGAAGACATGGAGTCCCGTCCCCCCCCCCCCCCCCCCCCCCCCTTGGAGCACTGAGTGGGTAGGTGACCAGCTCGGAAGCCCAGCTGCGTCATTTTGTTTACCACTGAAGCGCTCTCACCCTGTTCTGCTATCTAGAAATCAATAGCAAATTAATAGATTTAACTGCCATGAGATTAGAAAAAGCAAAAGAAAAAAAAATGAAGACAGCTGAGCTTAGAATGGGCTTCTGTTGGGAAAAAGAACAAACACTTAGGTGGCTTACATAACTCATCCACCCTTACGTCACTGTTGGAAACTGCTCTGTCCATTACATTGCTCTCTATGCTATGTGGGATAAAGATGGTACAGTCAGACACCCAGTGCACGAGAGCCTCAACCTTGGAACGTGGAAGGAGTGTTGACGGTCACTGCCTGGTCAGCTTGATACACTGTGATGTCCAGGTCATTTCTCAGTAGACAGAAATACCAGAGAGCCTGACCCTGGTGAGAGTTTCTCAAAGAAAATGTCTTGCAGTGATTAGCTAGTCTATCGCCCACCATCATTTCTTTAGCTGGTCCTCTGTGATGGCTTTTTGGGTCTGTAGGGGTTCTTGGCCTTGCTCCCTATAAGGCTTCTGCTTCTTTGGGGGCAGAAGAGTTAGTCTCAAGGAATATGGTTAAACATGTGAGCCAAAGAGAGATATTTCAGATTGTTCAAGAAAGTTCTGTTGGGTAGCTGCTCACCCCTCCCCCCTCGTGAGCAGAAGTCACGTGATGTTTCTTTGGAATTTCTCTTCCCACCTCCACCCTCTCCCGAGATGTTGCTTTGCACAGCAATGAGAGCCTGATAAACACATCTAGATGGACTTAGAGGCAGCACGATTAGTCTCTGATCTGTACTCAGAGGACATGGCCACCTCCCGTACACCAGCAGACCGCTGAACATTTGCAGAGACACTGTGATGCGGTACCGTGGTGCATCCTGGGACCTCAACAATGGCGGATGAAACTAGGTCTTTTCACCTCTAGCATTGCTTCAAACCCTTACTCCGGTCCTTCTCGGCCTCCTGCTTGAGATTTAAAGTTAGCATTCTATTCTACCAGTTACCCTCTGGGAACAGAGGTCTCTGGAGGAAGGGGATGACTCCTAGGTATTTCCATAGCTCTGGGTACCTTGCAGCTTCTAAGCCATTCCCACTCTTTTCACTGGTCCCCTACTATCTTAGGAGCTGGATTTCTTCTGTTATTTCTGACCAGGGATGATGTATTCATCTCCTGGAATAGAGAAAGGAGTTCTAGAGCTGTGTGTGTGTGTAGGGGGCGGGTATTGTTCTACCTTTAAAGATGATATTCAAGCATTTCTGACTTTATGAACTTGTGCAGGTTTGGATTAGCTAGGTGCACTTGAATGCCTCCTCTTGACATGGCATAGTCTCAAAGAAGCCAGTGTCATGGTTTCTTTTTAACTTCAGTGGAAAGAAGTCAGGTCCACACTCACCCAAAGCAGTCATTAGCCTCACACATTGACTGGAAATTCTCAGAAAGAAGTTTTACAGAATGATTAATAAGACCCGTGATGGTTAAGCTCAATTCTCACAGGGTTAGAATCACCTAGGAGACACTGCTTGGCATATCTGTGAGGGTGTTTCTCGAAAGGCTTAGCTGAGGAGAGAAGACCTATCCTGAAGGTGGCAATGCCATCCTATGGGCAGGGGTCCTGAGCTGAATAAAATGGAAGAAGTGAGCTGGGTACCAGCACCCGTCACTTTCTGCTTCCTGACTGAAGATGGAACATGACCCACCTGCGTCAAGCCCCTGCCCCTGTGTCTTCCCCACCGTGATGGGTTGTGTTCCCCCTAAATGATGCTTCTGTCACATCTAGAAAGGTGACTAATACAGCTTGTGTATGCTAAAGGAATTTAAAGGCATGTTTTAAAGAGATTTAGGGTTTCACTTTTACCACCCCCCTGGATTTAGTCATCATGTCCCTTTGGTATTTTAGGGTGTTATTGATGACAGAGCAGGAAGTTGTTTGGGCAGGTGACTGTGGATGAGGCAGTGTTTGGAATGGTTGGACTTTCTGTGGAATATCTTTGGTGTGTCAAACCCTCTTCAGGATGCAGAGTAACGGATGAGTTGAGGAAGAATGTCCCTTGACCTCAGCAAAGTTCATAGTCTCAGAAAGGAGCTATATAAACTGGCTAACGTTGTTTATAAAAAGCTGAAATAACGGGGTCAGGAAGATGGCACAATGTACAGGAGTGCACTTGCTGTGCAAGCTGAACGCCCGAGTTCCAGTGTATAGCATGCATGGGAAAAAGCATGTTGGCAGGGGTGAGGGCTGTGGGGGGGGCAAGAAGGACATTGCTGGGGCTTGCTGGCTGCTAACCTAGTTTCAGGGTTAGTGAGAAACTCTGTCTCGAGGGAATAAGGTGGAGAGGATGGGACACTGGAAATCCTCCTGTGACCTCTGAACATTGAATGGATGTGCATGCTCCCATACACGTGAACATACAACAGACACATCAAAAAATTAAAAAAAACACAGTAGAATGAAATGAACGCTGACTCGGTATATATGTACAACAAGGACCCTCTAGTAGCCTCATAGTGAGGTGGCTTCAGAAACCAGGCCTTTTGTAGAGGGACACATTGACTTACAGGAGAATTTCAGAAGGATCATTTGAACTGGTGTTGGGGGGCTGGGATAGACATATTTGGGAACATACGGGGACTGTCAAGCCATCGTCTCCTTGGTGCCCTTAGGAATCCTGCAGGGCACCTGAGAATATGCAATGGATCGAGAGATTTTGAGAGATGCATGCTGTGCTTGCAAAGTGTCCAGCCTCAGGTAAAGTTGGAACACTGAAATAGATGGGCTAGCAAAACGTGTCAGTGCTAGGGAGGAACAGTACCCTGAGATAAATAACCAAGGGTCCTGAATTACATGGGACGATTGGCCAAAGCCTTGTGAGGTCAGTGAAGGTCTGTATGAGCCCTTTCAAGGAGGCTTTGAGGGATGAAGAGAAAGGTGCAGAAGAGAACTCGCACCTTCCCGGGCTGACGAGGAGAGGCTCCTACAGAGAGCCGGTGGTAAGAAACAACAGACAGGAGCAACCAGAGAGGACAGTACTGCCAGTGATGAGCAAAGACAAAGGCAGCATGAGAGGCTTAAGGTGTGAGAAGAGGCAGGCTCAGGAAGGTCATGGATCTTGGTTTCCGGTTCCAGTTTGTTTCTAAAGGTGGTACACAGCTGTTGAAGGGCTTTGAATAAGTGAGAGAGTACAGACATTCAGGTGCTGTGGTAGGCAGGATGAAGTCTTCCGTGAGAGACATGGATATGAGGTGTGCATATATACAGCAGGAACACTCTGCTGAACAACGCCAGGGCCCCAGTTACGTACTTGTCCTTCTTTGTGGTTGGGCAGGGCATGTTTCTCTTTGGAGCAGAGGCTTCCTGACTTTAGGGAAAGTGTTGGGGGTTAAGTGATGGGTGAGTCCCAGGCTTCTGTCCTGAGAGCTCGGTGGGTGGAGGTGCCGAGGAGAAGCGAGGTAGCCAGTGGGGCATCCTGGAGGCTTCCGAATGAGACATTTGTGTGGAGGGGATCCGTGGAGCTGTCAGAGGGGCCCAGGCATCTGGGCTGAAGACATAAACAGGGATGTTAGGTGAACTAGCAC